TATATTTTCTAATAAGTGCATTATTTTAAATGAACGAACAATCTAGATTGTTTTTCCATAAAATTTAAATATCTTGTCGTCTGCAAGGAGCTGAACTAATACATTATAAATTTTGTCAAAACTAAATAATTACTGCGGGAAATATTAAAACAACTAGAAAGTTTAAGGCTTCTATTACCGTAAAGAGGTAATATCGAAAGTAAATAAATTAAGAATAAAAAAATGAAAAACAATTGGTTTGTTGCTCCTTTCTCTTCGTAGCTCAACCGAGGACGAGAAAGATGCACAGTGACTAAAATCAACAACACCAGTTTGCTAATCCACGCGTTTCATGTAGATTTCAATCAATGTTAAGATTGACTCCCAAAAGATGTTAAACTCTCACCGTATTAATTCTGGAAATTATCATTTTAAATATCAGTGTGACTGATTACATAGGTAGAAAGTGTCAGAGGTTAGAATCAAGAATTATTAAGTCTAGGTATCTCAGCTGGAAAGTTCATAGGCTGGTCAAGATATAAATGTAAGTAAACACACAAGTTAGGAGACTAAAAGACATACAAGTGCATATATATCTTGATCAGCCTATGAACCTTCTAGCCGACCCTCGTTAATTAGTAACAATATTTTTTTTATTTATTTCTGGTCTTGTGGCTTAAGACCATTTGAAAGGCCAGTAGCGCTAATTTTTTTTTGTGTGTGTCAAAGATAATAATTGGGCCTTCCTTAGTTAAATATCATATTTTCAGCCTTGATACGGAAAATCGAAGCTGGAAATTTTTTTCTCCTTAAAATCAAGGAAACAATTTCATGAAGAGATTCAGACAATAAATTCTGACAATTTCCATATATATATATATATATATATATATATATATATATATATATATATATATATATATTATTTTTTTAATGTAACAGCTGGAGTTTTTATCTATAATCATTTCCTAAATCCAATTCTTAAATTTTTCTTGTGTATAATATGATTTTAGCATAGTACGAACCCATGTTTTGGAAGCTAAAGACAGGGAATTAATTACAACATCGAGACAACATAGTACATCCATCCGTATGTAATTTTTTAAGTGTAGGATATTACCCATTAAAATCTCAATGTCTTACATATAGTTCACTAAAACATTTAATTTTTCACAATATTAAAGAATTAAAAAATAACGGGATGTTTAACTATTGCACTATTACTAATTTCCATTTCAAAACTTATTTTCAAGGAAAGGTGCTGACTAGACATAACCAATAATACATTTTAAGGTGTTAATTAATCCATTATGCTTTTTTATTTAATAAGACTTTATTATATTCCTATAGCTGCCTAGATAGCACTCTCCAGCCTTGATAGAGTCCAAAAGCCTCTCCGAAACTTGTGGGTGACAAATTATTTTCCATCCTCCAACACCTCTCTCACAGGACGAATGTGGCAAGCCCCTCACTATCAGGTCATCCCATAAGTTCTGTCCGAATTTTAAACTTTTTGTTAAAATGAACGAAATTATTTTATTATATTATAAAGTATTTTATAATGTCTAATGGAGCTGAACATTATTTTTATGTTTAGATGCATTTAAACTGATCAAATTTTATTTCAGAGAACAATAAAATTAAACTTTCTTTGATTAAAACCCTGCTAACATGGAAGTACCCAAGAATCATTTGAGGCACATAATGCTTTATGAGTTCAAGGAAGGAAACTCAGCAGCCGAAGCGGCTAGAAACATTCAGTTTATGGAGATGAATGTGTGAATGAAAGAACTTGCAGAAGATGGTTTTCAAGATTCAGAGGAGAAAATTTCACCCTTGAAGATGAAGATCGAACCGGACGTCCAGTTGAGTTTGATGAAGGAAATCCTGCTTTATCAGTTCAGGAATTGGCAGTGGTTCTCAGTTCAAACCATACAACTGTTCATCGTCATCTTCAACAACTTGGAAAAGTTCCTAAACTTGGAAAATGGGTGCCTCATGAATTGTCTGAAAACAACCTCAAATCCCGAGTTGACATCTGCTCTTCTCTCCATTCTCGCCAACTTGTTTCACCTTTTTTGGATAGACTTGTAACTGGCGACGAAAAATGGATCTTTTATCAAAATGTTAAGCGTCGTAGACAGTGGCTTGATAAAGGGGAAGGACCCCAGCCACAGCCGAGAAGGGAACTTCATGGGTAAACGGTTCTTCTTTCAATCTGGTGGGATCGCCAAGGAATAATCCACTTTGAATTCTTACCAACAAATGCAACAATTAATACTCAAATATACTGTCAGCAATTATAGCATTTGAACCAAGCTTTGAGGGAAAAAAGACGTGCTCTAGTGAATCAAAGAGGGGTGATGTTTCATCAGGACAATGCGCGACCCCACACAACAAGAATCACGTCACAAAAGATCGAAGAACTTGGTTAGGAGAAAATTCCTCATCCACCTTATTCTCCCGATCTTGCTCCTTTACACTACCATTTGTTTCGTAGCTTACAGAATCATTTGGAAGAAACAGATTTTGTAACACAGGAAGAGGTTAAACTGACAATTGTGAGTCCTTTGAATCAAAGCCAAAAGAATTTTACAGTAATGGATTTAGTAAGCTTGTTAACAGAGGGAAGGAATTCATAGATAATCAGGGAAAATATATTGTTGATTGAATCTGTAATTAAATGTAACATTTGGTCACTTGTTTTCTTTATTCAAAATTCGGACAGAACTTATGGGATGACCTGATACTTTCACGGAAAGTGCTCGAACAAACTACATTCCTTGGTTTCACCGTGTCTAATCTTCACGGCAAGGACCCGCCATGCCACATACATTATAGCAAAACATCCCCATTCTCTCCGTATTCCATCGGTGAGAAGTAAGTTTCACTCGAACAGATTCTTCCCGCGAACCACTGCACCGAGAAACCGACTCCCAAGACGATGTTTCCTCGATCACTACAAACTTGATCTGTTCAAGTGTAGGGTCAACCGTTATCTTCCCCTCCTATCTGTACAAACAAACTGCTTCCTACCTTACCCTTCCACCACGAGTGGTCCCAGGCCTTGTACTGTATATATATATATATATATATATATATATATATATATGTGTGTGTGTGTGTGTGTGTGTATTAATAAACTATGAAAATAAAATATTGTATTTCATGAAGAATGGATAGAGAAAAACTTCATGAAAAAAGAAAGTCAAAAGATTAAGAAATTTTATCTTGTGAGTAAAGCTGGGTCTATTTGCGATCTTGCTCATCAAAAAAGAGTTTTTTAAGCCGAGTAAAACTTTCTGCAAATATGTACTTCGCTATGATGTTTGAAAGAAATCATTTCTTTTTGCGTCCACTCGAGCAGGCCTCGATGTGGCCGAGTTAGAATCCCACGTGAACAAGGAATTCTTCTCCTATGTGCTGTGGACGATCATGGCTCTCCACAGTCTGCTATGCTTTCAAGGACTTTGAATTGTTACTATCTCCCCTAATCCATATTCAATCAACCATTTGCACAAGATCATTAAGTAGATTAGGCATTGTTTTCCTCTGTCCCTCTTGCCTTCAACATGTCTTGTGAGTGTTATACTTTCCAAGTAGTCTTTCTTTATTATGTGTCTTAGAAATTTCATTTGTTTTTATATTATGCTAAGTGTACAGGTGGTTTTTGTTTCCATATTCTCTAAAACTTTGTCATTGCTCACATGTTCAGTTCACCATTCTGTAGGACCATATTTTTCCTGTAGCCTCAAATATCTTCTTCAACTGAAATGAGATTGTCTCGCATTGACTACCACACACGAAGGACTAATATTACATAACGGTCTAATACACTTTTCCTTGTGTTTTTATTGCATAGCCCTTTCGGTTCTTCTCTATTGGGTCGTTTCAGGAATCAGTGACTAACACTGATCCTCTCCTTTTAGTGCAATGACAGAAATACTGCCTTGGATGTTTAGCAGCATGTGACTGAATGAACTAAACGTACAAATAACTATTCTATTTATTTCCATTTGTCATTGATAGCATATTCCGTCCATGGTATTCTCAATAGCCTACTGATCCTCCCCTTTTAGTGTAGATACTGACTTGGGGTTACCCAGCCTGTAGCTGAATATAACAATCGCACAAACAAGTTCGGTTTTATCATTTATCCCAACTGGCATATGTTTTCCTGCTCAATAAAGAAAGCTAATTTGCGTATTAAGTTTTGAAAATAAATATTTTTGGTTATTTATTTTCGATCTGATCACATCAAGAATACATAAAAAGATGGAAGTATTGAAAAACTAACTCAAAGAAAAGGTCAACGTTTATTGAACCCGGACAAAACTTGAAGCTGGCATAATATCGACTGGCTTTGTTCACTTTTAATTTCTCGTGATATATTTTTGTCTTTTAAAATGACTTCACTTTTTGCCGTTAACGTCCGTCTCTCAAACGTGTCCATTGTCTTTTAATGGTTTTTAATTCATTTGAAACCTTTCAAGGAGATTTCTCTCACTCGCCAGTCACTCAGCAAGTGACTCTTGATATTCTCAAACATGTGTCTTCATGAGAAAAGAAAAGGAAAAAAAATGTAGAGCGAAAGAGGAAAGAAAAAAATCCTATAATAAAAAGATAGAAAATAAAACAAAATAGGCTGATTGTTTGTTTCTTTTTTTTATTCCCATTTCTTTCCCCTTTCCTTTCTTTCATTCTTTTCTTTTATGTTCTGTTTCCGATATTCTTCCTTTATGTCATAATATATTTGCGATACATTTTTCTTCCTCATCTATATCGTATTCGTATTTTCTTCTTTAATCAATTCCGATTTTCTTTTTCTTTTTTTCTTTATTAACCTGTTTCTTTCTTTCTTTACTTTCCTGTTTTTTCTTTCATCTATCAATTCCCATATTTCTTTCATTCAGTCATATATTTTCTTCCCTGCTTCTTTATTGCCTTGTTTCTTTTTTTCTTTCATTTTTTCTTTCTTTCTTTATTCCCTTGTTTTTCTCCATTCATTTCTACACTGACAGTTTCTTTCTTTGTTCCCGTTTCTCTCTTCCTTTCAATTATTTTCTCCTACTTCTTTCTTTTTTATTTTAAACGACTGCATCTGCCTTTCTTTCTATCTTTTCTTTTATATTCTGTTTCCGATATTTTTTTATAATATATTTGCAATATACTTTTCTTACTTTTCATCTATATCGAATTCATTCTTTCTTTTTTTAATCAATTCCGATCATCATTCTTTTTTCTTTCCTTCCTTCCCTGTTTTTTTCTTTCATTCATTCATTTCTTCTTCCATTTTTCTTTCTTTTCTTTCTTTCTTTCTTTCTTTCTTTCTTTCTTTCTTTCTTTCTTTCTTTCTTTCTTTCTTTGCCTTCATATTCTGTTTCCAATATATTTTTCTATAATATATTTGCGACACATTTTTCCTTCTTGTCATCACTATCAAATTCATTCTTTCTTTTTTAATCAATTTTTTCCTATTTCTTTCTTTCTTTCTTTCTTCGAAACATTATAAATAATATCTACAAAGAGTGGAAAAATATAAAAAAGGTAGGCCGTTAACAAATCTAATTATCTTTATCAGAGAAAGAAAAATGAAAATAACGAGTGAGTTAAAGAATGAACGAAATTTGATCCTCAAGGAAAAAAATCTTAATGAAAATTAGAAAGGAGAGGCCTAGGAAAAGCATAATCAATGAAGAAATTATGTAAAAGAAAAGAAAAAAAAAAGAAAGAATCAAAAAAAGAAAGCATAAAATAATGGAAACGAGTAGGAAAAAGAAAGACAAAAAATGAATGCAAAAGTGTAGAAACAAGAAAGAATGAATGATACTAAATAAAATGAAATGATGAAAGGCAAGTGAAAAGATATAAAATAGTAACAAAAAAGTAGGGGAAAAGAAATGAGATTAAAAGAATGAAGAAAAGATAAACGAGAGAAAATAAGAGAAAAACGTAGAAAAATAATGTAAGTAAACAGATGAAAAAGGGATAAGAGAAAGACAAAAAACAAAGACAGGCAAGAAAAAAAGCATAGAAAAGAAAAAAAACTGAAAGACCGAAACTGAAAGAAAGAAAAATTTATAGCTAAAGAAAAAAAAGAAGCCATTGAAAAAAGAAATGAATATACAGAAATGGAAAAGAGATGGAAAAAATAAAAAAAAGCAGAAAAAGATAAGGATAAAAATGCTAGTGAATAAGAGGAAAACAGAAGAAAGAAAAGAAGTTAAAATCACTACTGCTAATGAAAGCAAAACTAGGGAACAGTCATTTTAATTTTTCACCTCAACTTCTCGTTAAAGTGGTCTTGAGAAAGCTCAAGTGTAATTCATTTCACGTTGTCAGAGAGCAGCATTCTCCAGTGTCCAGTGATTTCTTTTGCTTCTTGAACTACTATGACTATCGTAAGAAATAATTATTGCATTCATGGTACAGATAGAAACGATTATTTTAGTGAAGAGGCGCATTCTTCACTAAAGTCATTGCGTTCGACATTAAAAAAAATGTAAATTCATTAGATAAACGTTCAAAAATATATCTTGGACAGGGACAAAATTTTAGTTTAGTTAACCTGGACACATATACATGTATACATATACACACACACACCTTGCTGTTTATAGCGATGATAGTGTAGTTCACAAAAACGACAATAATTGTTATTCTGGATCAGGTAATAACAGTTACCTGAATACCGATTTTCAAGGAAGGAAATAAAGCTATTTTCTGATTGAAAAATTAACGGAACACAATTTATCTACCTCGATTTTCATCCATGTGACGTTCTGTCTGACTAAAAATAAACCGTGGGATAGATAGATAGATAGATAGATAGATTTATTTTCACTGTGAATTTCGTGGCTGTAGCACAGACCAATATCGATCGGTGTAAGTCGTAGTATCTCCATAGTTTTACTTTTTTGTTATATGGGTTTTTTGATAACTGTTGGCTTTTTCTTCATTTCTCCTTCTTTTCTTTCATTCTTCCTTTTCTTTTTTCTTTGATTCGTTTCTTCCTTTTTTTATATCTTTCTTTATTTGGTTCGTTCGTTGCTTTTCTTTCTTTCTTTCTTTCTTTCGTCCGTTCATTCATTACTTTTCATTCCTTATTTACATTATTCGGATTATTGTCCTCATCTTTGTCGCCATATTTATTACAACGTTTCGGCCGTTGTACGCTCCGGCATTCTTCAAGTGGTTGGAATGTCGAACTGAACCCTTTATTTCGCTCACCGTGGTAGACTGTTCTAGTTCCACGTGCCATGTTTGATATCAGTTATCTCCTGTTAATTTCCCTCTGAAAGTTCGCCACTGCCTTAACCGGGTATTGAACTCTCACTCTTTGGGTCCTGTCACTGGATCTAACCAACGCCTTTATCCACTGTGCCATGTGTCCTCTGGGTAAGAATTTCTGGGTATTATAAACCTAATGTCTTCAGCAACCATTTTTACCAGTGCTCATATTGCAATGTTGCTGCTATCATTGCATGTTTTTACCAGAGCTCATATTGCAACTATGTTGTTATCATTTCTTTTCTCTGGCACTCCTTATTACTGGTTCCCATATTGTATTTATTTCTATGTTTGGTCGGCTCAGGAGATTTTTTCATTTTTTTCTTTCTTCTTTCTTTCGTTCATTCATTTATTCCTTTTATTTCCTTTCTTTTTCCTTCTTTCTGTCTTTCTTAATATTCTGCACTCTCATGATTTTAGGGAAATATATTTCTTTACATTCAGATTCATCACAAATTATCGTTACTATATATTTACTTGACACCTAATAAATGCCATTTTTTTAATAGTGTGATATTTCTTGAATCAATGCTCAAGAGTTGCACATTATTTGAAGCAAATTATCACCAATTTCCGCATCTTTTCTTTTTCTTCCTACTTTATTTGATGGCAAATATTCCTGGAATAAAACGAGTCCTGGTAAATAGTAACTTCATGAATTAACCTATAGTTGGCAGAGAAGAGAGAGATTCATACCTATTTGAACGTAAGTTAATATTAAAAAAAAACTGACTAGAATTGGAACACAGCTTTTCGATTTCCCATTCCGAGCCCTTATCCATTGCCCTACCCGCACATACAAAATTACAGCAACTTGTATTCCCAAGCGGTCACCCATCAAGATACTAACCAGGCTCGACTTTGCTTACCTTCGACGAGACTTACGAGAATCGGTGTTTGAACAAGATCTATTCGTAAGCCATGCCAATCGCATATCCAAGCTTAAAGTACCTGATATTCCCAAGTGCTTAACCATCTAGGTACTGACCAGGCTCGACGTTGCTTAATTTCGATGATCGTACGAGAACCGGTCTTTCAACGTGATATGGCCATAAGACCATTATATCACCTGAATACTGACATTTAGTGCACGGGGTATTTTCTCAAGAAGCCACTCGTCTTGTTATTGATCTGGCTTGACGTTGCTGAACTTCGGCAATTGTACGAGAACCAGTGTTTCAAAGATCGGATCAAGTCATATATTCGGCCAGCGAAATCATAGCCTCTCAACTTGTAAATAAGTCTAGCATGCCAAACTCTCTCAAATTCCTTTGCGATATCTAAAGCCACAACTCGTGTCTCACCTTTCTTATTTAAAGCTTGACAGACAAATTCAGTAATAACAGTTAACATTTGTGACCTTGTGCCAAACTTAACTAAACTAAACCAAACTAAACTAAGCTAAATTCTCGTACTATTTCTCCACCCTGGATGCACTATGGCCTGGCGCTGGACTTTGCTAATTTTAGTCTATGTATTTTTTTTCGTTAACAAAACTGTTTCGTAACGGGCTCAAACATTTTAAAGTAATTTTGTATCAGATTTACGAGGGTTGGCTGAAACGTTCATAAGCTAACAAAAATAATCTCATGAAAAGTGATCAAATGAGGTTTATTTTTCAACACAACCTCTTTTTGGTGTTGTAGTACTTGGTAAAGTAGCTTTCATCCTGTTTGACAAAAAAGTTACCAATAGTAGATGTTTCATCATCATCACTGCGATACCAAAGAAATGTTTTTATGTTAGGGAACAGATGATAGCCAGATAGGGCCAAATTAGGAGGATATGGAGGGTGATCAAAGAGTTCAAACCACAGCACAGTAGTAAAAGAAATCGAGGACTTGTGCGTTGGAGCATTGATCTGACGAAACAATACCCGTTTCGTCAGTTTTTCTGGGCGTGTTTGGTCTTGATAGCCTTTCGTAACAATCGCAGAAAAAAAATTGGCATAGTATTCTCCATTGATGGTGCAATTCTTTTGAAGGTAGTTTAATAAACACATCAGCTTTTGCATTTCAAAAACTGCGGCCATCACCTTCTCTGCAGATGAAACAAACTTGGCTTTCTTTGGATAAGCTGAGGAAGGGTGTTTCGACTGCATAATTGTCTCTAACTCAAAGTGATTAGCCCACAACTCATCCTGGATTAGAAAACGTTCAAGCAAATAAACTGGGTCTGCCTCGAACAATATTAGGTTTTCCGGGGATGTGATGAGACTAATGCGCTTTTGATCAGGTGTCAGAAAACGTGACATCTACCGAGAAGAAACCTTAGTCATGCCAATTTCATTACGCATAATATTCTCACCTCTCTGACGGTATACGCTAATAGCATTGACTATTTGCAGTCAATCTCCTGTCATTCATCAGTATGTAGTGAACACGATCAATGTTTACCTCGGTGGTGGCAGCTGTAAGACGTCCAGACATTGGGTCACATAAAAAAAAAAAAAAACTTTCCCTCCTTCTCCTAAAGTCAGTTGCCCACATTTGCACTGTTGATAAATCTAGCGTGTCGTCCCCTAATGTAGTAACCATGTCAGCATGAATGTTCTTGGGATCTAAGATCATTTTTCTGCAGGTACTTGATAATACGATTTTTCCATTTTCAAGCGAAGTAGCTAGTAGTTACTTTTGATGTATTCTTTCAACAGTCAGATCTCAGTTTACCTACAAAGAAACAATTCAGTTATTAGTAGGAAAATTTGAAATTAAGGCATGGAAGATTTCACAGCTCTCAGGTTCACTTTTTCATAGTCAGCCTATGAAATTTTCAGTCCACCCTCGTAATGTGAACTTGATAAACATCATCTCTGTGAGGTATATCGTAGTTGAATGGTCTAAAACCAACATAAAGCAGATTATTCCCAATATAATACTAACGCAGGTTCGATCCCTAGCGTGAAGCAAATTTTTATTTAGATATTCAATAGAAAGACTGATTAAAGTCTATTCACTGTATATAAAAAACAGGGACGCCTGCTTAAACGCATATATATATTAAATGGATTTTTATCCGACTTTATTTGTTATTACTATAATTGTTATTTTTTACTGGGTACACGTGTTAGAGTTACCATTCCTATCATTTTATTTTCTTAAACAGTGAAATTAATACCATCTGGCCTAGATCAAGCTGTCATACTAAAGGAAAAGGTACTTCTTGACAGGAATCGTACACGTATTCCCATTTACCATCGAAAATAATTCCTTTAGCTGGTGTGCACTTAATAATGAGGCCACTGGAGCCCACCATGGAATTAAGTGGGTTAATTCCTTAACTAGGACTTTTTCGTATCTCTCTGCTAGCGTTATTTTCGTACTAAAAACGTAAAAAAGTAATTTTAAATGGATTTTTATTCGGCAGTATTTCTTATTTCGCAAAATGTAACGCTTTCCCATATAACATAATGGACAGCCACTCATATCCGAGTATGCTGGTCTGCTAGGGCGTCTTGCTAATCCCTGCTGAAGACGCCTGATCAGACACATTTTTCTTTCTTCCACACACAGAAAGTGGTTTATACTGCAATAATGCTGAGCGGACCTTAGTTCTGGGATAACAAAACAAATGCGCCAACCTGATCAACAGTTTGAACGATGGCAGTACGCTCAAACTCTTGGGCACGATCACTTTAGACTTTGAAATATAACTTTTACAACTAATAAATATTTCTTATCCGGAAATATTTCTCATGCATAATTATACATAAATGTTTCATCATCTTCCTTATAGGCAGGATTGTTGAGTCAGTCTTAAAATGTCACACTACAGCCAAATGGATTTCCGAAGAATTTCGAGATATAGTCAACTCCGTTTTCTCAACTGGGTCAGGAGTTAACATTACTTCCACTATTAACATTCAAACTATTATCCCCGTCTTTGTTGTTGTTACCATAACGTTTCAGCCGTTGTGCCCCCTGGCCTTCATCAGGAGTATATCGATCTGGGTAGCTCACAGGGAATTTCGAAGTGAACCGTTTATTTAATCTACGAAGATGGACTGTTCTCGTTTCACTGCTCATGTTTCGGAATATCGTCTAGTTATTTTTATTTCGTATTGTTCAGTTATTGCTCGCCCGTTTTCACAGTGCAAATACACATTGCTCTACCCAGGGATTGAACTCACAACCACTATATCACCAAATTCACAAACCAACGCTTTTATCTCCTAGGCAGTAGGGCAATTTACTGTAGTGAACTTGGGACAATGGTCTTTTGGCTAAAATCGTTGGTTTGAGAATTTGATGACATAGTGATTGTGTGTTCAATCCCTGGGTCGAGCAGTGCGCACTTGTACTCAATGGAAACAGGAAAGCAATAAGAAATAAGAACTAGACGAGATATCCCCAGACGAGCAGAGGAATGAGAACAGTATATCCCCGTAGATTAAATAAGGGGGTATTTTCAGTTCAGAATTCCCTCTAAATCGATATAGACCTAGGGAAGCTAGCAACAAGATTACAGTACTTAGTTTTGTTTTCTTGTTTAACGGCATATCAACTCCCTATGATTCATTTAATGCCGAAATTTAATTTTCTTGAGAGCATAGTCAATTTTATATCTTTACAATTAAAATCTATTGATGAAATTTTTTTTTACTATCAAAGTCTATTGCTGGTATTTTTACTATAAAAAATGTATTTTTATACTTTCGTTGCATTTTGACTTCAAATTTGAGTATTCACCATTTGCCTATAGCTGGGAACCTAACAGGTTTTAGCACACCTGGTCAGGGTGGACCTTGGAACAACAGCAATTAAGAAGTGGTTCCACGCTCCTGAAAACCTTCCGATCAGAGGCCTTGCTGCTGGATGTAGCACCTGGTATTCCCAGGCCGTCACCCATCTAGGTATTGACCAAGCTCGAAGTTGCTTAATTTCGGTGATCGTACAAGAACCGGTGTTTCAACGTGTGATGGCCGTTAGAAACACAGTTAGAGACAGTCGTCGTCGTCGAGTTTTCTAAGTTAAGCAAGTCAAGTTTATCATTAGATTATGTACAGAAGCGGAATTTGCGACGTAGGTTCTCATTATTGCTTACGTTTTGTCCAAACTGGCGCGTGTCTAGCGAATCTGCTTGAAGGCGATAAAAGAAATACTCTGCGAATGCTTGGAGACGGTTTGGATCTGAATACTTCAAAGACGTTCTCCCGGTGCAAGAATGCGGAGTCGCTTAACTGCAGCAGAGGAAATGGGACGTTTTGGTGGTGACCTCAAGAATTTGCACTCAGGCAAATACCGTTCAGTGGGAAAATGGCGGCATCTACACTTTGGTGCACACAACAAAATTTTGTTTCTAACTGTTTTTTATTTATTTTGCTTATTTTTTTTAAAGCTTTCCGAATTTCTTTCCTGGGTTTTTATTATTTATTTTTAGCATTTCTACATTTCTTTCCATTTCTCTATTTCGACATTTTACACTTAATATTCTTTCTGTTTTCTTTCCTTTTTTAGTTCTGATTTTCCTTCTTTCTCGGTATCTTTTTCTTTCTTTTTCTTTCTTTAGTTCTTTTTTCTTTCTTGGTTTTCTAATCTTCCTTTTTTTCCTTTCTTTATCGATTCACTTTTCTTTGTCGGATTCCTTTTCTATGTTTTCTTTCTCTTTTCTTTTACCTTTTTTTTCTTCTTTAATTCACTTTCTTTATTTCTCAGTTTAACTTTCTTTCTTTCTTTCTTTCTTTCTTTCTTTCTTTCTTTCTTCATTTTTCTTTCGTCTTCTTTCTTGATTCACTTTTCTTTTTCAGTTTTCTTTTCTTCCTTTTTTTTCTTCCCTCGGATCAATTTTCTTTATCGGTTTCTTTCTTTCTTTCTTTCTTTCTTTCTTTCTTTCTTTCTTTCTTTCTTTGTTCACCTGTTTATTCGTTTATTTTCATTGTAAATATTTCTTTCTTCCCATACTGAATCTGAATTTGCGGATCTGAATTTAGATCTTAACTCAAACTGATTTGAGAATACAGTGCCAAGGTAAGAGTTCTGGAGTAGAAGCTCTCTGGGTGGAGCTTCCTCCTTACCTATGGAAGATAATCAGGATGAATCAATCCTGTGTACATGG